CCCGGTGTTTGCCATCGGGGTTGGGTTTTCGTCGCTTGGCAGCGATGTTATAAGACAAGCCGATCACTTCGTGAGCTCGACAACCAGGTTACCGCTTGTTTTTTTCTTGCCTTCAATGTTTTTTTTGCGGTAACCATAATGGTGGTCGAGTAGATCGTGTTGTGCGGGGTTGAGAACCCTCGCTCCGCGCAAGGGGGACAATCGCACCACGTTGTGTTGAAATGCTCAAGCACCCTCTAGGCAGTAACAAAGTGCTTCCAACTGTCTATGGAAGTGAAAGCACTAGAAAATATATTAAGTCATGTGCAGCTGTCATCCGTACCCAAGGAAGTAGGCACTAGATGCCGAACACCCTTAGCAGGATGCAGCGCACCCTTCATGCGACTCGCCGAATATCTCACGGCGCTTCGCGCTTGGTGATGTGAGAGCCTGGTTCGGTGAGAACCCGGCGTGCTCCGTCCCGGCTTTGTAGGGATGCGAGATATATGGTCCAATGACTACGGCATGCACGACTATGAGTACCCCCCCCCCCGGAACATCTCTAGCAAAGATTTTTACGGGAGCAATAAGTGCTAGAAAGTTCAAGCGTTTTTGCACCTTTTGGTCGGGAACGTTTGTGAAAATAATCGATTACTGCAAAAGCTTATGGCACGAAGTAGGTTTTCTTCGCGGGACTGACGGAAGGGATGGCTTGATCAGTTTTTGCTCATTGAGCAACGGCGAGACGCAGGCACACCCCTTCATGCCACACCGCGAAACCGGCCAGAGCGTGCAACAAAAGCTTGGAAAACGCGTTGGTGTAAGTGCATCCACGGGAAGGCAAGCAAGAGATGCACCCACTTGGCGTGCGCACGCGAGTAGACAGTCAGTCCCGTCTAAACAGGGTTGCACGAATAACGTTTGCCACCCAACAGCGACCTACAGTAGAGTTACTGCAAGGACGACCAAACTACCCTTGCAATATTTTCGAACCAACGCCAACCCAGAACCCATCTCAGGAAGACCTACTGCTGCTGTAGAGGTGATCATGCGCCAGTTTAGCTGCCTGCCACGTGTGGGGTTAGTTAGCGTTAGAGTTTTCTTCATCCTCTGGCCACCAACTTTGAAATGCCTATCGTGTTGAGAGATCCATACAGCAGCAGGGACTGAATGTTATAGGCGATGACCTCGAGGCCTCCAAACACGTGTCGGCAATGAAATATCTCCCGAGGCCGTTTTGTTCAGTCACACCCAACGCCTCTACAGCAGAAGGGAGCATTTTCCCGAGTGATCATACCAGAAGTGCCATAAAATTGTCCTGGTCGTGGGCCTTGCCAAAGGAGCTGGAAGTGCAGTGATGATCATTGCGACACCCCAAAACTATTTTGGGGGCCGAACAGCACAGTATCAGAACGACTGTCCTCCGCTGTGTCTTTGCTGGGCTTTGGTGATAACCCTAGTAACGCTATGTTAGGTGTTTGCCCCCCCGCCCTTCAGCCAGACCTGCCGTCTAACCGTGTTTATTGTTGTTTTTCCCCTAGTTTGGTGTTTTGACGTCCCAGGGAGCACCCGGATGATTCCAGCGCAGCGGACACTCGCATTACGTTCAACCTCTCCACGAACAATCTAGTTGAAATCCGCAAAAAGTGCCTGATTCAAAGACACAACGTCGTGCTTTACCTTAGCCATTGATGTTGACCTACCCCCCCCCGATGCCCTTTGCAGTCACCACGCGGCGAAGATGTCGCAGCCGGTCGTTACGATGCCGCCGCCTCAGCAACAGCAGGGCAATGAGTGTGCACCGGGCTTTCAGTGCACCCCGCGCCTGACTTTTTGGGTTATTGCGGCATCTTCCTGGTTGGTGTGGATCTTCGCGGTGAGGGAGTACAGCTAGTAGTTCACCGTAAGAAACATTTAAATTCTTCGCAGAACCTTCTTGACCAAAATTCTCAAGGTACAGCAGTGGGGGTTAGCGACCCCGTGTATAGCAACATGCCCTGCTCTGGCGACCCCATCTCTTGACACCGCTGCCCCCCGGTTCAGCGGCCATTGACCGCTAGACCCCACAACGGCGGCTTTTTGAGCTGTTTTCAGGGAGCGATAGCGGCGATCGCTTCAATTTTTTGGGGAAATTCTGCGCTCCTTCCTCACACGAAGGACACAACACCCGCCGAAGGACGCATACATACATTCACGCATGATGGTGTGCGCCGATGGAGAGTTGTGCAAACAAAATATGTTTTTCATCGGAGCACACGCCGTGACACCAGCGCAGCAGGTGGACACCAGAGACATGTCTGGTGAAGCAACTTCGATACACGCGACTACCATAATAGGGGTCGCTAAACGAGGCCCCCACTGTACTCGATGTGTCGACGACGGGGAGGGTTGGGGAAGGGTCGGCGACCGTTTTGTGGACCGGCGTCGCGAGAAATTGTTTTTCTGAGGAAATAGAACAGGGAGGGGGTACGCAGACTCTATCCCGAACCCTAATCCAACTTCCCGGTTGCGTGCTTTATCCAACATGTTTACTTAATACTATATTGACCCTGCGAAAGCCGCTGCGTTTCGTCGGAAATGGCTTGCCTGGAATCTCCCCGACGGCACACTCTCCGACGCTGCAACCTTACCCATGCGAAGAATTGAACGACTAGCTTACAGTAGTAGTCATATCGCTGTCGGGTTGGTAAGCTGGAGTCGATTAAGGTCGTTGATCAGGATTGACGTCGACACCCGGAGGCGAGACACCAAGGGCCCAGCAACCACGGGTATTTTTCTTGGCGTACGGAAGAGAAAGTGCTGTTGAGAGGGGAGATGGGTCAGAACCTGTATTTTTGTCAAGACAAAGAGCACCACTACCAGCAACACCAACGACAACTTTGGCACGACTTTCTCGACCCCGTCGTTTCTACAAGTGTGCACACAGCTGGCACCCTCTGGAATTCTGAACGAAGCAGGGATACCAGTGTTTTCATCACCTCAGTCCCTGTAAACCACGCCTTAGCCGGTGCTGCACGGCCTTGCTTTTCGTTTCTGAAGCCTGATGATGTCTATGAGGTTTAGAAACAAGGGTTGGTTCAGGATTCGTTCGCGATGATTCCAGGTGCCGGTTCACTGCTCCGTTGTGTCCCAAAGCCTTGATGTATGCTCGTGCTGTTGTTGCCAAGGGTTTTTCGTCAAACGATGCAACGTCACGGCCGTTGTTACAATCCTTTGGAGTGTACCTATAGTGCGATCACGGTGCCGCAGCTGTTGCACGGAGAGCGTCGAAAAGACTCGTAAGAGTATGTTTTCGTTGGCAGCGCATGATCTTGTTCTCTCTGTTGTGTACACGTATAAAGTAGATCTGTGCGGGGTTGGTATGGAGGAAAGGTCAGAACGGGTATAATTTGCTGAGGAATGCAACGACGCGCTTGGTCTTTCTTTCTGCTTGTTCGGGTCGTGCTAGGTATCTGCCGCCGCTGATGACAAGTGGATCAAGGACAACGGGCAGGGGGATTGGCTCGCTGCAGGGGAAGACCCCGTCCTCAACTTGTGCGACGGCCTCGACGACGCTGCCGACGACGATTTACTCGCCACCGACGAATACAAGGATTTCGTTTCTATCTGTGACCTATGTGAGATCAGTTGGGGCTGTATTTGTTTTTGATGCTAGGTGCTCCCACGTGGGTCCCCGATGTGTGTAATAGTGCATGTGGCCTCTTTTCGCGCCCTTCTCACTTGTCTCATTTTTCTTGTGGCTGTCTTTTGCTCCATTTCCATTTGAGACGGTCTTGGCGCTTTCTTCTCTTCTCTGCAGTACCGTCATCTCTGTACACCCGTGGATTTGACTGCTCTCTGTAGCACCATATGTGCCTCAGGGATTTTGGTTCTCTTCCCGTCGCGCGTTGCAAGGCTGGAATAAATGGTGTTTGAAAGCCGTAGGAGCGCTCCACCCCTCGCAGATCCATCCGCGCTGGACCACTCTCGGCGTAGATTGCACTTTGCACACCCGACGCAGTCCCATGCCCAAGATGCAAGGTCCATCAACGTCGTGCACCACCTGCACGCCTACTATTTTCGGCAACTGTCGCCTTTTCCACCACCCCCCCGCGCGGGCTCTAAACACTTGTCCCGCTCGCCTTTCGGTGGCGCTCGCCCATAATTGTGGCAGACCGGGCCTTCACTGCAATGCAAATGTTGGCCACCATCGTGTGCTCGGTGTCCGTGTTGCTGCTAGCCTTGGCCTTCTTCCGACCGGAGGCAGGAAAGTGCGCCTCGACCAGGACCCTGGCGTTCGTTGGGGGTGCGCTCATGGCGACATATGCCTTGTTTCAGCTCGTGGCGGTGGTGCTGGCTGCCGTGCTTGCGCAGGAGTTCGACAACTTGCGTGAGTCATAATCCCAACTCAGCAAAGGCTGCTCACCGTGTGCCTGGCCTGCTTCTTTGAGGCTCTGTTGGTTTGCGTTCTCTGCAGCGGTCGTGTGTTGCAAGGTTCCTGCGTCTGTGGTACCCAGAGCCTCGCTGCGCCCCCCCCCATGTTTGTTGTTGCGTTGCCTCCTGCCGGAGAGTTGAAAGATTCTGCTCGCGCCCCATCATGAAACATGATTATCCAGACCTCCAATGGATAGGTGTATGTCGGTGCCTGCAAGGGGCCGCCCCCTGCTGCACGCCTTGCTTCTCCCTGCGGCGTGCACGCACTCCAGGAGTAGTAAGCGCAGCTGCCGTGCCAACAACAATCACCTGGATTTTCGCTGCGCTTGTTTCCTTCGTGTATTCGCCCCCCCGTAGTTCTGTCTCTCAACTCAATTTCAATCCCCCCCCCCGTATCCACACACGGAATTGTCCATCTTTCGGACTGTTGTCGCGGGGCACGGATGCGAATCGATGTCGAATTTTCAGCGAATGACGACGACACGTCGTACTTGAGCGGCTACGATGGTTTCTACACTTTCTTTGAAGCTGGCTACGAGGCAGAAGTAGGGCCGACTTTCGGTGTGGGGGTGACGGCCTTGATCCTCGCCGTCATAATGACGGTGGTTCTTTGCCTGTGCGCGACGCGCACGGGGGACGGCCCCCTCTACAAGTGCTGCCACAGCCTCATGCTCGCCAACAAGAGCAACGGCATCCCCAGCAGTGGTGGTGAAGGTGGCGTAGGCGGGGGCGGCGGGAAAGGAGTTCCTGTTGTCGCTGACCTGCCTGCCTCTGTGGCTGCGGCGAGACCAGGAGCAACCGAGCAGCCGTCGCAGCAGCAACATTACCAACAGGCACAACCGCAGCGTCAGCCGCCCCCACCGTACGGCATTTTGCCGTCGGCGGAGGTTTAGCGCGCTATATCCAGCGGAAAGCCGTGTGGGGGGCATATAGAGTTTGCGGCTTGGTTTATGACTATTTGGGCATGGCTGCCTACTTGGGCATGGCCGAAGCTTACTGGATGTAGCCATCATGAACGCAACTTTTCGCTCGTTCCTCAACGGTTGTGGAGAATGGCTGTAGTGTAAGTGCAACTAGCAAGCATGTATTTACCTGTGGGGTGGGACCTTGCGTCGTCGTTTCGCACCTGCAGTTGTCATTTGCTTTTGGGTGATTAACACAAGGTCTACGGGTGAGGGCAGAGGGCACAGCAGTACGAGGCACCACATTTATGCATTAATTCTGTACTACAGTAGATCGCACGGGTGGGTGTATGTCGTGGGTCCTCCTGTCGCTCATTTAATTGGCGACGATGCACCCAGCGCCTCCCGCCGTGGACATGGTGTGCAGCTTGCCGCAGATATTCTTTTCAGTGTTTTTTCCCCCGCAGGCGAAACACATGCTGCCTACATTTCTGGTACCCCGTAAGGGATGTCTGCTTCATTTATCCAGGTTGCATCCCGAAAATGAATGTCCCTCGGAATACGTGGGATAATTTATGTGTAGCGGAAAGATGGGATACCGGATGCATCGGAAGGTAGACTTCCGTGGATGGTGCTTGGTTTTTACCCACGGTTTTGGAGCTTTTTACATCTAAAGGTTCTGCGACGTGCTGGAGGATAACATATTTTTTACGACCACGACGACTTGCCGGGGGGCTGATAGGTTGTTCCAGTTTGTGTGCGTTTGTCTACGGAGAACGTCTATTTGAGGCCATCCGCCTATTTATTCATCGTCATTTCGACCCGCACACAAGGGGTGCACACGGTGTCAGTTTGCCCCCCTCTTCTTCTTGGCTGATGTTCTTTCCTCAGTCTTTGCTGTCTTTCTTCATGAGTACCAGTACGTTGGCAGCCATTTGGAGTTCCGTCTGTAGCTTTAGGATTGGCTTGTGTAGGTGCTTGTTTCGTTGTATCCGTTTTCCTTTCCGATACCAATTTTGTTGAGACAAGTTCGACTCAACGCGTGAACCCGACGGTACATGAACAGCACCCCGGTGATATCCTCTCACGACATGTACAGGGTACTCATTGCGTGTGCTTCCTTGCAGCAGCCTAAAAGGTTGCACTGGGTTGGATCTCTTCGACACCAGGGCAGAAATCGAATTATACCATGCCGTTATTGGTTTTCTCGCTTACCCCGCTGCGGTCTCCCTGATGGGTGCTACGGTATCAAACCGATCGGTGCCACGTCTCGCATGCTTGTTGTATATGCATAGGGCTTCACGTTCGATCACGGAAGGGACCGGTGAACCCTCGTCGCGAAACAAAACACGACAAACGCTGCAGGAAAAAATGTGGCGCAAAAAGAACAACGATACTCTGTGTGGCCACAGCTGACACGTTCGATTTTTTGCACCACCTGGCATTGTGTGCATACAAGGACTTTCGAATTGTTCTTCGCTCTTGATGAGAACCACAACCTCTAGAATGACTGATCAGCCGGTTAGCACACGACCGATCCATGTAGTAATAAAGACGCACACAAAGGGAGGGGGTTGCTCTAAATTTCATCTCGCAAAACAATACGGATCACGCGGCGTCCGCCCGGACCTTTCGGTGACAGCAGAATATATTGGAGCAAGGACTTTACAAGATGACCCCATAAATATGAACGAGGGCACAATTCCGAGATAACTTGCAAGTCTGTCTTTTGATCGATCCTTCCCATTGTCTCGCTATCTACGCCTTTATGCTACCCATGGTTCCATGCTCTAGGTACGTAGGTCTCGCCTCTCCGAGAAGCTGGTTCGGTTGGTTCCGAGGGGTACAGGGTTCGGATTCTGAACCAGAAGAAATGAAGCACTTCGAGAAATGGCGTACCCCTACCTACATCTGTCGCGAGGGAAGGGATTGCTGTACCCTTCTCACGATGAACACATCTCAGGCAGGAACCGCAGGAGGGGGTCCCCCCCCCCCCCTCCTATGTGACCCCGTGTGGGTCGTCTAGCTGGTAGAAGTGGAGGATAGGTGCCAGAGGGGCAGACGACAGAGTCTAACGATGGGAGAAAAAAAAAAATCTGTCCGGTGTTCATTGCCCTCCCAATCCCGAGTAAAGATTGACGAGTGAGGGCCTTTACGTTGCAATGATATTCTTTTGTTTCTCGTACCGAAATCCTCAAATACGGGTAGCTCGTGTCTCGCGTGACGGCTCGTACATATACTTTAAGCTGAAGAGGTGCAGCTGTTGTAGTTCCGGCCCGCGAACTCCTCCCTCCACCGCGCAATTCCTGCCACACCTCTGCAGAAGCAGTTCGGCAATCACTACCTTTCAGTTCTACACGGCCAAAAGCTCGTCGCAGTGAGGGAAGGCTAATGCTTTCGCATATTTTATCGTGAATCTCCGAGGTAAGTCTGGGTTGACCGTGCCGAGCCGGAAGTCCGTACATGCCCACAACCCAGGAGCGTGGGTGTCACGGCGAAGAGAACGCCGATGCTGGCAAACACACTTGAGGGGTTGTTGCGGCTTTGCCCCTGAAGGCACTTGCGGCTGATTCCGTCCGTGAGCGCATCACCCTCTTTTTTTTGCACCATCTCGGCGATGCTAAAAAGTACCACGAGTACGGCATTGATTGGTCGATCTCCCCACGTGCTACACCTGGTTCCTACATTCTCCCCACGTGCTACACCTGGTTCCTACATTTATCATTAGTCTATACTCTTGGAGTACAAAGAATGCAAGACGAACGACCGGGGTTGGTCCCAGGAGTTGTGTGCGGCTTGAATGACCGCTGCTCTCCCAGCAAGAACATCTGCGGATGGCTGGCCGGATGGCACACTCTTCACATGCGTTCCTTCCGGATTGCCTTGTCGAGTAGGTAGCGACAATCGAGGAGAACTTTGTGGACGGAGTCGACCGCAACGTGCAAAGAAATATTGCAGCATCTGTCAATACCCTGCGAAGCGAGTCAAACGGACATGTCCGCGGTGCTGTGCACGGACCAGGGACCCATGTGGATTTGCGTCCACTGACGTCCGTAACCCCGTGCAGTCGATTTGTCTTGACCAACCTGTTACTGTAGAGGACAAAACAAAGGTCTTCCGTGTCTGTTAAGTGCTATTATTGGTACTTCTGGTATGGCTGGAATCACCGTTGGGGACTAAAGTTGTCCCGCGAGGTATTTCGTCGATTTGCTTGTAAATCTCATACGTCACACGATTTCTTTGATGTGTAGTCCATCGTTGGTTGTTGCAGAAAATACACAACATCTGGGGTGTGAATGAACAGCAACACACCTCACGGCTATGGCGAATGCCGACTCAGTTCATCCGCATCACGTGCATTTGCGTACAGTCCATGAACTCAAACGTCCGTGCAAGCCATCTCAATCACAGGCTTGGTTTGTCTCTCAATGTGCGTGGCTGCATAGGATCTATTTCCGCAAGAACGGTCTCCTAATGAGTAGGCTTTTCGTGTTTGTCAGGTGCGTTGTCCTCTAAGTATGGTTCACCTTGGTGGCGGGCATCAACGGGCATGAACAACTGTAGAAGGGCAGTTTTCCCGACACAACCGACTCATATTGACCACCGCTCACAATGGTCTACTCCGTGCCACCTCACCGGGACCCTGAACCGTTGTTGCCCTCAAATCTCACTGGACAACACTACAGTACATATCATCCGCTGATACTGATAACTGGGAGCGTTGTATCTCCACAGTTCGATGTTGTGCCTTGTCTGGTACTAGGGTCACGATAGTGTGGGCCTCAAAGTGAAAATATGCTATGTCTCATTTTCCCGAGACCATGAAGATAATGAAGATCAATGTCATCACGGTGTCTTACCTCCCGTAGACCAACCGTGGTTTGAGGCGAATGACCATTTCCTGCATGATCTCGATGCTACTCGTCGTCGTCGTCAACGAACGTCCAAGCGACTGGGACGTGCACTTACCACACGCTGAGGGTGCGTACTAGCTCCGTCAATCGAGCCAGCCTGGTTTTGGCACGCCGAGAGAGTCACATCGGGCGTATTCCCCTGGTTCCGATCTCCATGTTTGATCAGGTCAATTCGTGGGTAGCCAACAATTTCTGGACCGCGACCGACTGGCAATCTGCAATCTCGACCCGGGATCGCTTCAACCTGTGCGTGTGCTCGGTAGTTTTGATGTTTTCTGTTTCTTTCGCACGGCTTGTTGGCCAGCGTTGCTCTAGAAATAGTCGATAATCCGTGTGTGTACTCTTTTGTGTTTCTTTTGTTGAGCACTTTCGGAAGTTGTTGCTTTGGCCGGTCGCTGGATGTTGTCAACAATCCATGTTTCGATGAGGGCAGCTATAGAGGGTGATTGTTTCGTGCCAAGCGCATGGTGCTTGGCATGCTGGGTAGCCTTGTCGCTGTGCTTGGCATCCAAGACTGACAACCAGAAATGCTGATTGGTGTGGGTTATGCCTGTCTGTACATTTCGGTCATTCTCGATTTCTATGCCTTGAGGATGCGCACTTCTTTGTTGATTACTCATGAATTGCTAACGAAAATGTCATCGCTCACCGCGGTGCGGCACCCTCATCGTGATTTCGTCTGTCGGCATTCGTCTCTCAGTTCAGAGAACAATCTTTCAACAGCGGCATTCAAGGCTGACCCCAAGGCAAGCACCTTGCGCGGAGAGCTGACTGGTGCCCCAGGAAACGATGGCGACATACAAGTATACACTATTGATATTGATGTCAAGAACAAGCCATTCAGCACGCCCGAACATGTGGCGGAAGCCCTCTCCACGGAGATGAAACTCACCGTCGATAAACGCTATTAGGTGTTGACATCCGCTAGCAAAAGAAGGACGGCGAAGCCAAGAATCGAGGTCAAAAACGTAGAACGGGTAACCGCTTCTGGATTTCGCTAGCAAAGACCAAGCAGGGCTTTCATCTTCGGCTGGAAAACGACCCAACAAGCATCCTCACAATGCTGGGATTTGACGCAACTGTGGAGGTGAAGCCTGGCACACCCGTTTCTGGCTCGTGATCATGGACAATCGGCGATGGGGACAAGCATCATGGCGGACGCTCAGTAGAGGACCAACGTATCAGGTCCGACCCAGAGTTTGACGAACATTGGGATCACGCCAAAGGACAACGTGGATCGAGGACAATCGGGAAGGGTAAAAAGGGGCGCGTGACTTTCCACGCCGGACACCTCCTTTTGGCGGAATACCTCTTTTCTCTCGTGTTTCTTTCGATGTACCGAAAAATGGCCGAACAGTGCAGATAACGAATGCCGTCGAACAAGCCAAGAAGTTAGACGACCGCTCCGCCACCACCTTTGGCGAGAAACTCGATCAATTCTGCGACTTCGATGATATCGCCACGGCGGAGAAGGACTCTTGCTCCTCGCGATGGTCATGAAGGACGTAAAGCAGGCAAGGTTTAATCGACAACTTTTTGGCCAAACCACATAAAGTCTGCTCGCACCCGCTCCGGGCATCTGTTCACTGCCACTCTCTTAATTACTTGAGATGTCGCATGGGTAAAGAAGAATACGCTGCGAAGTACATATGTGCTCCGAGTATACACTTGACTTGATTGTCCTGTCGGTTTGAGTTTGCAAAAACGTCATCGCGCGTCTCCTTTGTCCACCTCAGAAGTATGTGTTGGCGGCGAAGCGAGAGCTCAAACACCAAGACCCGAAATCGGCGCCAACTGACCTGGAGTGTCTACAGTGTATCCTCCAGGAAAAGCTTCATGGAAGCACTGTGGCAGACAGCACGAGTGACGAAGTTAGCTGGTTCAATGAGACGGATCGGTTGCTTCCAGGTATCGTGAGTAGCGAGCCCGGCACGGGAGATGGACACGGTCAAATGGTGGTGATGCGTGTGTATGAAAAAGAGGAACAGCGTAGCATGCAGCACTGCTTGCACCAAGCGATGAAAAAGCTCGAAATCCATGACGGGTCTGCCGACATGCGTCCGCTGTTTTCCGTGGTGTCTGACAACGGTGACGGCAACACCAGCCTGTCAACATGCATTTATCCGTACTTTCTGAACAACTTCAATCTCCGGCCTGGAGAAGGAACGTGCACCCTGAAGGACAGGCTGGAAGAGGCAGGCCGGCCACGACCGGCGGGGCAGCCGCCGCACAGCGTCTCTCTCTTACGCCGACCTACTGAACGTGCCGATGATACTCATATTGTGCGACAAGGGAAGAACGGGCGATACGTTCCCGCACTCGCTCGACTGCTTCGACCTGCGAATTCGAACGGCCGAACAAAGCTTTTCAACCTTCGAACAGGAGCTCGGGCGCCTCTGCCGATACCAAACCTTCATGCCAATCGATGGTGGCGAAACAACGGAGTGCTCACACGTCCAGGCAATCGCACTATAATAGGCAAAGAGGCGAGGATCGACCGAATTGGACAGTGAACGTAGGCAGGGAGCAATGGCATTTCTCACTCTAGCCGAATTGAGTGTGATCGAGGTGGAAGGTGCTCCCCATCGATTTGCCAATTGTTCGTGTCCTCGTGCGCCCTTATTGAACAAAAATTTGAGCCATATCATGTGAAGATAGGCCAACTCGGAGTCGACCGGGTGCTACCGACAAGGGCGCACAGAACCCAAACATTGCCCTGCATCATGCATCTGCAACTGCACGCGTTGCCATAATCACGACTAAAACTCGATTCCTTCGCCAATCGGTCGTGATTAGCAGGCTTTCCGTCGCAAGCGCGTGCTGAAGGTATCAAGCCCCTCTTCAAAGTTTCTGGGCGTCGCCAACACGTGATGGGAGCTGGACGAAACTTTTTCGGACAAGGCTCAGGCGCATCCGAACGTCCGTGTGGAGGAGAGTGCGTTCCGGCTGCCAACGATGCTCATCACCACGAGAGTAATGGGTATTGTCCACAATGCCGTTAACGAGCACAGAAAGACAAATACGCCCATCTCGAAGTGAATACGAATGTTCCGTATCGATCAGCATATGCGCGGTTCGATGGCGATAGTGAGTGCGTGCGCCGTTGAATATTCCAGGCTGAGGAGGTATTTTGCTTTTCATCTTGGCTACCCTGGTTGTTTTTTGCTCGAGGACGTTTCTGCGTACACCACCGCCAGCGTTTCGAATGGTACTATGTCAAATATAATCCAACAGTCGATTGCTCGCAATTCGCCGAGCCCCCTCACGGTTGTGTCCTCGATCATGCAGGCAAAAAACGGTGACCTTCACGACTACTCTAGGTATCGGCCAGACGAAGGTCACTAGGACAGTGGTAGGGACAAAACAGGCACAAGAAACGAGCGCCGTCTGGTTCTGTCAGCGGAGTGTCAAGTTGGCAAGACGGGAGCGTACCTCCACTACCTCAAAATTCTTAAGAGAGCGGCCAGCCCTATCGCTACCCCGCCGCCGCCGTTTCCCATCTTTGCATCGTCCGGGGATGTCGTCAGCTGGCTTCTCCCACACTGGCGAATGCTCTCCAACACGAGACCCTTAAGCGAAATGTATGGTAGCCTCTTCGCTGGCAAATACACGGCAGGGGTCGCGAATAGCCGGGCGTATCTCGTGGTGCAAAGTTGCAAGCGTGATCGGTGGGTAACCAACTTCCAGGAGTTCCTGCGCAATGTGTTGGCGCACAAAGTGCAGGGTGAGACAATCAAGAACGAGGCGGGCAGAAGGCGCATTGCAGGGTTAGAGCCGAGGCTAGAAGCCCCGTTCGATGCGGAAGCACGGGCTATCGGAACCGAGGCTTCCTATGCATCCCTAAAAGCGGCGATTGACTGGGTCGGGAGGTTTCACACGAATCATGGGGTACAGCTGTGCGTATGCAGTAGTCGATGTACACCTGCATGCCAGGACAGCTTGGCAAAATGACAAGTTTCGTGCGGGGCGGCGTTGTCAATTAGAACGGCAGACCTGGCGGAAACGGGAGGCCGACTTGACGGGGTGATTGCGCGGTGGAAAGCAACTCCTGGGACAACTCCCAGGACGACTCCCAATGTGAGAAACGCGGCCATATTCGTCCTGGGGATAATATGTGGAGTGTTTAGCAGTAAAACAGCACCATTCATGATTTGTGACAACGCCTCACAACAGAGAATGTAGAAGTCAAAATGTAGAATTCGTAACCCTTTAGGTACACGCAGAGACGACTATCTTGGGCGGCGTTCATGTGGTTCTCACGCTTGACAGCACCGTACCCCGCTCTCCACTTTCGGCGGACGCTATGTTTTTCGCAGAACGTTGCAAGTTAGGAGATGACGTTGTGGCGAAGCAGCCTCCGAAGGCCTGGAACAAAGGGAATGGCAGCCAGAAAAAGTAAACACCCCTTCCAATACCGTGCAGACAGCGCGCTCCAAGGCCTTGCCGTGTCCACTCCGCACTCATTGAAGGGGGGCATAAAGGAGCTGCTCCGCAGCAAGGAAACGACGAGATGGGTTTTTACGCCGTCGTTCAACCGATTCCTCCCAGGCCCACGGCAGGCACTCCTGGATCGATCCGAAGCTCTGCCGAAACCCCTCGGCGGTTTGGATGTGGGGCCCAGGCAAGAGCACGATAGAGACGTATGAGTAGGCGAAATACGACAGGGCACAGGACATTGTGATGAAACACACCCCCACGTGAGGTGTCTTTGGTTCGCTTCCCCATGTACATGTGTGTTTTGCGTTATCCTGTTTCAACCCTCTAACAAGCAAGTCCTTTTCGTCGCGGCTTGACGTATGAAGTATACCTCCACGCACCCAGTCATCACTTGTGCTATTGCCTTCGCTGCTGTGCAAATCACTTAAGACTTCTGATCGCTTCACCAGTCCATTGTCTAGCTGTTTCTGATTTTTTTTTGGCAGATCCATGTCACCTGTTGAACGCAGTGTTTACTATGCGGCGTACGAGCACATCTGGCATTTTCAAAACCAGAACCTCAGAGGTAGCCTTTTCATGGCCACAATATATCGCGTCATGAATGTGTACAGCTAGCCTTAGGAACGCCTCGCTTTGGCCGAGGCCAGGGTTCTTGTTTCCTAGTGCTAGGCCATAAATGACCCCTGCATAGGTTATGGTGTGGGTTAACCGGGCTCACAATCGGTGCTCAAGTTCGTGTGTTTTGATATTACGTTGAATATTGCGTTCTTCAGTGCGGGCGCCAACTGCAGGCCAGAAGGCTGGAAAACAGACGCCAATTCAGGACGAGCTCCAGCGGTGACGGTGTCGATTGCATTCTAGGCTCTGTGAGAGAGGCGGCTGAATTGCGCAGAATATTTGATTTATTCATGCCCGGAGATGCCCCAACTCCGGACAGAAACACCATGGCGTGTAGTTCGTCCCCGCGGAGGCGTGCAGCTTACGAGAAAACATCGTTTGCGTTCCCGCCGACCTGTCCCTTCGATTCCGTGAACAGGGTCCATGTTCAAGAGCTCGTGGTCCGTCGGGAACGGTTTGAATCCTACAGGTGCACCCCCATTTGTCGTCGCAACTTAAGAAAATTATGCCGTACAGGCCGTCGATTCGTTTTTTTTTGCTGGTGCATGAGGTGAAAAATCATGCAGCGCCCCGTCCTTCCACTTGAAGTAGCTTCCATTCCTTCCTTCCACGCTCCAACCGGCCTCTGCCCTTGTTGTTGTTTAAACAGGACGCACTTCGGGGATCACTACGTGACAATGGAACTGCCGATGTCCATGCCAAGCGACGAGTCGCCAAGCTCCAGGTGTTCTCCGAAAGAAGGGGGAATCGGATACACCCGGCATTTCATTCGGCGGTGGTCGCAGGCCAACGAACTACCCTTCGCCTGGATGCTGGACGACAATGTCCAGCTGTGCCATGAGCTCGATGTGGGCAAAGAACAAGCGAAGTGCCAACCGTGCAGCTTCACGCAAGTCATGAACTCCCTTGAACGACTCAAGTTAGCTGAAGACAAAAATGGAATTCGCGTCTCAACAGCCTCAGACAAGGAAGGCAGTACAAGAGATGTCCTCGAGTACGTGAAGGTTGACGGGGTTCGAGGCGAGGCCTGTCCTCGCGAATCAGACCTACTAGGTGGGGATACCCCGAAACAGCCACGTGCGGTTGGCCAGAAGATCACCACCGTGGGAGACTTGTGCGGTCATCCTGGCCATTTCGGAGTTCTAGGCATTGCAAGGCATGGGTATGGCTGCACAAACAACAAGGAGGTCAGAGAATCCTTCGGCGTCACCCACAGCGTGTATTCCTTCTACCTGCTGAACGTGGCCAGCACAGTCTCCAAGGGGGCAGCACCCAATGAAACCCCTCTGGGAGGACATCGAATTCAACCACATCATCGACGAGAAAGGCCTGGTGGTATGCAAGATCCGAAAGTTCTCTCATTCGAAGAAAAGCCTCCAACCCATCCAGCCCCGCCAGCCTCGCCCGCCACCGATATCACCTCCGGCACGTCGGCCGCCGCTTGTCTCCTGTCCGGAGTTCCAGCACGAAGATATCGATTTGGATGAGCTGCAACGAAAGTACGAGAAGGCTCAAACTGCGTTACCGACTTTATTCACTTGGATGGACTGCTGAAATACCTCTCGGAACATGTCCTACAACCCATTCATATCGAGGAGGTATGTTACCCCACCGGAGATCACGGGGTTGTCACCATGGATGGTTGTTCTTTCGAAATCGAACCTGCTGCGCCAATGCTGGGCAACCCCAACTCGCCCTCGAGCCTGGACTTGACTCTCGATCGATCGCCATCATGCTGCTGGGAGGGATACGAAACGAAAGCTCTGGTGTCCTAAAACTTATCATCAGGGACAAGGTGGGGGTAAGCTTTCGGGACCGAGTCGAGTGAGTTCGAGGTTCCCTGCCGCGGAAGTCATGGTGATTCCCAAACGTAGTTTCCGAAACTACGTGCTGCTCTTCTTCTCAGGTTTCTTCATGGGAGGATTCGGAGGTGGTGATTGTGACTCGCTTGCCAAAATGTGGTGCGCACATGCCGAAGCACATCGGCAAATGGCTCCAGGAACAAACGTAGCATGGATGGGGCGTCAAGGTGGGCTGGACGTACGCAGTCACGCAAGAACATCCATAAAACAAGCTGTTCAGAGATGGTCGCATTTGCTCAACATGGTCGCATCTGCCCAATATTTTGTGGTTGCAACTCCCTTTTTGGCAAGTTAGCCTGTGACCACGGGAATGGTCAAGTGTTTGATCAGAATAGACAGGTGGAGGTCCTCGGTAGAGAGATAGGAACGGTATTTTTGTGGGAAGACAACAACAACACCAACAACAACAACAGCAATAATGGAATGCCCAGATTACGCTAACACGGGGCGCTCATTTTGTGGTATGTTGGTCAGGTCAAGGCCACGATAGTGCAGCCAAACGGAGCTTGGGACGGAGAAGGGTTGCTGGCCCTGGCGTCCTCGTCGAGCATTGACGAGCCTGAAGAAGTGGTACGCTGTCTGACTGTACCGGGTGCGGTAGTAAGGTTTGTGCTGAAGGAACCGCAAGGCTATCTCGGGAAAATACTGGTCGCCGCTTTTTCGATGCCCGACGGTGCTTGGGTGTGACCACCTGAAAAAGCCGGAGCATGACACACTTTGTTGGTGCTTTCCTATCTTTCTCGCTTTTCGAGCACGTGTTTCCCAAATGATCACTTCTCAATGATAGGAACGGCTAGCGTACTGCGCATGGACCAAGCTTCGGCTTCTCCGCCTGGAACGTTCATGGTGAAGTTTCTTGCACGTTTCCTGGAACCCGAAGTTCGACAACACACCGCAGTAGTAGTGCTGTTCGAGAAGATGTGCTTCACCCCTCACGTTTTCGATCATCGTCTGCTATTCCAGAAGAGCAGAGTATTGGTGCCCAAAGTAATGCATGCCGTCTGTCCTGGTAGTACATGTGTCTTTCGGTCTGGCCGCAATTTTGGATGGTTATTTTTGTGTCGGTCCTGTGACCACTTGGCCGGGTGCCGTTTCAATTCAACTGCTGTATGTATATGAGTGCATGGGTTCAGACTACATCGTCGAGGTTCTCAAGGATCGGCACAGCATGTGGTTCCTGTGACGTAATGCCCCAAACAAGAAACAGCGCTATATGATGCGGGTACGTATTAGTGCTGGAATCGCTAGCGGTGCCTCTTCAACCCCTTCTACTGAAGTCCTCTTGAGATCTTCACACCATCCACTGTTTGTGTGGTGGGCCGTGGTGGTAATAAGGCGGTTCGCGGTGTTTAGGACGTGAAAGCGAGCTGCACCGCGGATACTGTACCAACCTGTCTCTGTCGACCCCGGCCGTCTGTTGCTGATGCTATATTTGGGGTGTTAGACGAGGGTTTTTGATCCGGTTGGCCGGGTTTTCCCCCGAGCCTGTTGTTTTGAGCCCTTTGGTAGATCAGGGGTATCCATGCCCCACGTTAGGTTGGCCATTCGCGTGCAAACCGGGGGGGGTGCTAGTGTGTTTGGATACGGACTGGTTAGNGGTGTACACATGCCCCACCTGCGTGCCCTCTGTTATTGCCGGTAGATCTAACCAGTCCGTATCCAAACACACGAACACCCTCCGCNGGGTGTTAGACGAGGGTTTTTGATCCGGTTGGCCGGGTTTTCCCCCGAGCCTGTTGTTTTGAGTCCTTTGGTAGATCAGGGGTATCCATGCCCCACGTTAGGTTGGCCATTCGCGTGCAAACCGGGGAGGGTGCTAGTGTGTTTGGATACGGACTGGTTAGATCTACCGGCAACAACAGAGGGCACGCAAGGGGAGTAGGGAGAAGTGAAGGCCTCTTTGGAGTTCGAGGGGTCCGCGCACATGCCACCATTTCAAGGTGAACATGTGCCCCATCTGCGTGCCCTCTGTTATTGCCGGTAGATCTAACCAGTCCGTATC